CCATTAAAAAAAAAAGATATACATACACGAATTGTCAAGAGAAATTAGTCACTAAACAATGCTTATGGAATATTAAAAAGGAATGAGAAATCTGTAGCAGAGAAAAAGAGATTAGCAGGAAAAAGAGAGAGAAAGATCACTTATTGGGCTGATAATGATTTTCTATCTCATCATACAAGGCCCATGTGCATACAAGGCCCATGTGCCATAGGCCACCCAGCTCATCAACACATTCATATTCAATTCGAGAATTTCAAACTGCAGTTTTAGAACAGAACATCCTCAACATGATGCAGCAGAAAACAAACTGCAGTTTCTCAAGGGTGAGAACCGTGCAAACGAGTTTTCACTGTCATAACAGTTACACAATGATAGGAAAAAGAGAGCAGCAAGTAAAAGTGTTGAAACCATGGAGGAAACAAAACCGATCAATGGAGAAACTAATAAAGTTGCGACCATTAACAAACCTATGTTTGTGTTGTTGCTTCGACAAGAGCCTCATAAATAAGGTCAATCTTGAGATGTACATGATGAAATGATTATAAAATACATTAATCGTAGATTTGGAGTTGCAAAATTTGTAAAACCTTGAGGTCCATGATGGTTGTAACTTTCTCCATATCGTTTGGTAGTATTCAGTCTCAGAGCATTTCTTTCTGGTAGTTGTTCGTCCCTAGTTGCATTGCATCACCGAATGGCGCTTCTCCACAGCCGAAAAAAGACATGTCACTGTCCCAAAGGGACCAAACATCCATAGCATTCATGTCCCTAGAGAGTGGCATAACAAGACTGAGATTGCTTTATAAAGATATTGTTGGTTCAGTTTAGATTCTTGTAACTTTGATTGTTCTTTGAGAAGGGTCAGATTGTTTGAGTATGTATGTAAAAACACTTGCTTGATCAATATATAAAACTTCAAGACCTGAATAAGAATAAGAAGGAGATCTCGCTTCTGTTTCCTATCAATATATAAGCCTCACCATAATAATAAAATCACATCCGACAATTTTGTGCATTTCCTCAGGGTAGCATTAAGTAAAAAGAAGAAAGTAGCAAGTAAAAGAATTACAATCATGGAGGAAATCACGAGAACCTAAGGAACTTGCAGTCATCAATAAATCCTCTGTTTATGTTGTTGCTACAAGGGAGAAAAGACCAGCAACTCTCCCAAAGGGACCAAACTTCCTCAGCATTCATGTCCTTAAAAAGTGTACAAGGAGAGTGGCATCGCAAGTCTGATATATCTTGCGTTTGGTTCACACGTAGTCCATAGTAACTTTGATCGATCTTAGAGAATTGACAAAAGTGATACTGTTAGTTTGTGTATGAATACTTTATTGTAGTCACTTTTGTCAGATTGATACAAACACACACAAAGTTAGGCTGCTAAACACAAACGCCTCTGATGTATTGGACGGAGTAGATCAAATAACTCGTGCTTAACGCCATTCTTGGCACTGAGTTGGAGATGTAACCGGTTTGACTTCTCGAAATGTTACTTCCAGAATCTGCAGGAAAAAATCTGGTTAGTCTGAATCTATGAAATTGTCTATCACTATAGTCATTGAATATCCCAGTTGATCTTTGAATTAGAGGACAATCGATATGTAAGATTTTTCAAGGCACCTGAAAAAATGGCAACAAAAAGAAAAAAACGAAATCATGTGAATAAACAGCAAGTAAAAAAGTTGAAACCATGGAGCAAACGAAACCTTATGGTCGACCTACAAATACTCTACATGGTACAAACTCCCATAGCATTTGCATCCTCAATAGCTGTACAAAGAGAGTGGCACCACAAGTCTGATATCTTCACACGACGGTCCATAATAACTTTGATTAATCTCTGAGAGGTGACAAAAGTGATGTATAAACAATTTATTTGATAATCACAGAAATAGTATGGATAAGAAGAAGAGTCCTTTGTAAATAGAGGGCATTAGCTATTGTAAATCTCATCTTGTAACTGTTCGATTACTCAAGAAATATATGTTTTTTCGCTTCGAGAACGTATTATTTTTGTACTCGGTTTTTCCAGATTTATATAAATCACAAAAAGTTCAGCTGCTAAAGACAAACGAGACTCACACATTGGATGGAACTTAATACAATTCTTGGCATAGAGTTGGAGACTTGTAAGATTTTGCACTCACCTAAAATAGTTGGTAAGCTGTGAAAAAGACGAAATATCCTCACTGGTTGTCCCTGTGTGTTGTTGTTCCGTTATGATTGGATCAACATACAAAGCTTCTTCCTCAAGACATGGAACAAAAGGATAAAGAGGGAAGATTCAGCGATGCTTCATCACCATGGAAGTTCAATGAAGTAGGTTGGAATGTACTTGAGCTGGTTCCACTGTCATCTGCATCATAATAAATCAACAGGTGAATCTATTAAAATAAATAACATTTTCATTTTCATGTTGATCCGGGAAAAGAGAATCTACGAGATAGCAATTATTATAGTTTTCTGTTGGATTTATGCCAAAGCTTACCCGCATTCGCTTCTTGCTTCTTCCACTCTCTTCATCACTTTCTTCAGATTGATCGGTGTACTCAGCTTCAGAGCTTCTATCACTAGCATCCAGAGATGGAAAGACATCCAAGACTCGAACACCGCATTCTTTTATGGGCAATAATAAGGAACTAGTTTGAAAGCCAAGTTCGGAACTGTAATGGTATTTGAACTCAAATTCCACATTTTCGCAGTCCAATTGAGATGGAGGATCTTCTTGAAAGAAGATATTAAAGTGAAACACGCCCAGATGATCCATCTTAGCTGAGCCCATGCCTAATTCAACTTTATGCGCACCCTCTACACCTCTGAATTTACAGTGGACAATGATCTTTTCATCAGAACATAGGAAGCCAGTAGCAAGTTCAGGAATGATATAAGCTGTAAATCTCAAAAGGTTTTGAGAAAGAGAGCTTTGAGGTAAAGGGACAGTTAGGGAACTTCCAGGAGCTCGATGCGTGAAGTATGTAGGCATTTTTTTACCAGGTAAGATTGCATATCTGAAATCTGACTGTAGGATGAATTTCTGCGCGTCTTGATCCAAATTAAAGCAATTGTAGAATAGGAACTCAGTATATGAATTGCCATGGTGGAATAGTAACTCAATATCTGAATCGGAGCAGGAGAGATACATTTCCTCATGTAATTCTGCTACCGTTTTCACCAGAGTTGTATCACTAACTGACGTGACTCCCCCACAGTCTGTAAAATCAACATACTCAAGATGTTTCAAGTTCCAAATGTTTGCCGATATTTCTTTTAACTTCTCACATCTTCTCATCTCCAGCTGAGTGAGCCCAATGATCTTCTCAATCCAAGAAGGAACTGTTTCAATCGCAGTGTCGCTCAGAATGAGATTTGTAATGCTTGTTGAAAGCTGAGGAAAAGTTCTCAACCGTGAGCATCCACTGAGATATACCGAGTTGATAGCCTTTGAAAGATCTGTAATTTCTTCCAAGCTTTTACATCCTGACAAATTCAACACCTCGAGATTGGTAGCCTTTGAAAGATCCGGAATTTCTTTCAAGCTTTTACATCCTGACAAATTCAACTCCTCGAGATTGGTAGCCTTTGAAAGATCCGGAATTTCTTTCAAGCTTTTGCATCCTGACAAATTCATTTCTATAAGATGAATAGCATTCGAAAGATCTGGAATTTCTTTCAGGCTTTCACATCCTGACAAATTCAACTTCTCGAGATTGGTGGCCTTTGAAAGATCTGGAATTTCTTTCAGGTTTTTACATCTTGATAAATCCATCTGCCTGAGATTTCCAAGTGACTGAAACATGAAAAGTAAAAAACCGAATATTATTTTCTAATTTATGTATTACTTTAAAAATGATTCTTTTCTTCTATAAAAATATAATTAATCCAATAGATGGCATAACTCAGTAATCTTAAACTTAATTAAACTTTGTAACAAAACATTACCTTGACTCCTTCCCATAGTTTCTCAAGCTTGCTATCTTTCATTTGGAGTTGAGTGAGATGTTCCGGATGAAAGTTGGGAGGCATACATCTCAGAGGACAATTTTCCCAAACAAGTTCAATGAGCCCCGAGAGATTCTGAATCCATAAACAATCTTCTTCTTCCATTGCAGTTCCATCTAGCCCAAGCCTTGAAATGTTTCTTGAAATCCGAGGAAATTTTCTCAACCTTGAACATTCCCTCAAATCGAGGTAATCAAGAGATTCCAAGTTGACGTCGGTTGGAAGAACCTTGAGATTTGAGCAATCAGACATCTGTAACTTTCTCAGTTTCTTGAGATCCCGAATTGAAGAAGGTAGTGTCACCAAGGATGTGCAATTGCAAAGATTCAATATCTCAAGATTTGTGGCGTTAGAGAGATCCGRAATTTCTTTCAAATCTTGGGATCCAGCTATATTCATCACCTTGAGGCTTCGAAGTGGCTGAAAACAAAGTAGGGGAAAAGATAATACACACGTTCAAAACATTCTAAACAGATTCTAAGCAACACCGTATAAAATAAAGAAAAAATAAAGTTAAAAGTTGGTACCTGAGCTCCTTCCCACAGCTTCTCAAGCTTACTATCCTCCATTATGAGTTCAACCAAATGCTCTGCCTTAAAGTTAG